AGGGGACGAGCGTCTGCCAAATAAAGCTTATAAAATGCTTTTAAATATGCACAATCAAGGCAAACACACTTGGGCTACTGAAATAATGCTCTATTAGACAATTTAGGCTTTGGCACAGTCTGGGACAATCAAGGCGTTGAAAACAGTGAAAATTTTCTACTTGAGTTCAAAAGCCATGCGCAAAATGAAGGCAAAAGAATTTGGTACTCTGATATATGTACGGTGGAGAAAACAAATCATTATTGACAATTTAAATTTAACTTTGGCAGAGAAATGTACTTAAAGCTTTCAGTCAACACAAAACTTTGTAGAGCATATGCCCGTTTAAGGTGTTCAGATCACCCCCTAGCTATAGAAGTCGGTAGACACAGAGGAATCGCCAGAGAGTATAGAATTTGCGATCTATGTTTGTCTGAAATTGAAGACGAGTTCCACTTTCTTCTAAAATGCCCAAAACTCAACACATTCAGGCAAACATTTCTCCCCCAGTCTCTCCAGGACCATGCAGCAAACACCTTGCACGATTTTCACAAGATAATGGCATCAGACAACACGACTGATATTGAAAGTGTTGCTTTATTTTGTTTTCATGTATTTAAAATTAAAGAGAAAATGTAATTTAAGTCTTTTATACTTTCAAACCTATGACAGAAATGTAATGATTTATTATTATTTGCGTACATGGGCCGGAGGCCTAAATACGAATAAAGTTATATATAACATATTAAAGCGAAGGGGTTGTCGCGATCGTGTCCTTGAAACTTGAGTTCCAAGTGGCGTATACAACAGATTGTTTATTTACATCAAAACATGTGTTCCGTGTAGTAGTAATATGACCAAAAATAAAAACAGCAATTATTCGGCCATCTTTGATCTGATTATGAAACATTGATATGTATGATATATGTGCCAAATACGAATGAAAATGGTACATAAATTGTGGAAATATAGTAGTAAGGCCAAAAAGTCAGATGGTTGTCAATCAGCCATCCTTGACCAGATTTTGAAACAAATTGTCATGGACATGCATCCTAACATGCATAAAGTACATGTATGTGCCAAATTTGAATGAAAACTGACAGAGCACGCCCAAGATACCGCATAAAAAAAATAAGATGCCTGCCAGTCGACCATCTTTGATCCAATTGTGAAATAAATCGTCATGAACATGTATAATCTATGTACCAAGTTTGAATGAAAACTGACAAAGCATGTCCAAAATACAACATTTTCAAAAACAAGATGGCTGCCAGTTGGCCATTTTGAATCGAATCGCTAAACCACTGCATGTGCATATGTCCCACATAAAGTACTAGGCACATGCGAAGAATGAACGGAATCAGTCCAGTCGGATGGTAATGCCGATAGAACCCAAAGTATTCCGAAAGATGGTGATCATAAAAAAATGCAATGCGAAAGTAAAACTGTTGTAGCACAATGTGTTGGCATGGATTTCAGTTGAAAACTGTATACTTTTCAGAAGAAGTGATTAGCAATTATTAAAAGTGAAATGCAAGTTGAAAGAAGAGTTTTGACATAATTCGCGATAACAGTTCAAATGAATTTTACCCATGATGCAATGAACACATCACTTTTCTTTTTTAGCAGAGACATATCTTGACCCCCACTTTGACAGCGACATACCCGGGTCAAAGTGATTTTGACAGAATTTCAGCCTCCAATTAAGGACTTGCTTAGAAGCGGTTCCATGACGGTTGCTAATTACAAGTAACAGACAGGGTCGACCATCACTGCTGATGCACATGCCAATGCCAATTTTTTGGCTATTTTTGTTAAAACATGGCTAAAAAAAAAAGAAGCTGAAATTTTTATTGGTGGAACCAGTCGACTATTTGAAATTCTAAAAGTCAGGTCTACAGTTCATACTAGACCCCATCATTTTAGACAAGCATGCAGCTCTCAGCTGACATAGCTTTGCTGTTAGAAATTCACATTTCAATTAAATGAAATGAACAAATCTGAGAGGTCTACCCGAGGTACCAAAATATCACTTTTTATCAAAAATATTTATCAAAATTAGAGAATTGAAGATATCATCACAAAATGATCAAATCTAAGAGGTCTGTCTACCCAAGGTACATATACACCAAGTATCAAAGCAATAAGCATTGTAGTTTCAAGAAGAAGTCAAATAAGTAGAAAGTTGACATGCACAATCACTCATATGATAAGCTCCACTCGACAAAGTTGACAGCGGAGCTAAAAATAGGAGACCATTTTGGTCACCAGTTAACACTGATGGGACTACCGTAGTTAAATCAAGTGGGGTGAGACCAAAATAAATGACACAGAGACAAGGATGCCGGTAGGTAGGTATGGGAGGGAGCATCACACCCTCACGTGCAGGCGTCATAGCGGCTGACCCCATGATGCAATTCGCAGATTTGAATTACATCATGACATGAACAACGTGGTACCTGAGTGTTGGTGGTCACTACGGCAACCTCACAAGTAGGCGTCGTAAGAGTTGTTGCCACCGTACGAGTCACAATTTAGACTAACACTGCGGCAAGAACACCGTGGTACCCAAGCAAGGCTGTGTATGCTGCAGTGACAGCCCCCCCCCCCCCTGTGCTTTATTGTATAATACTGAGAATCAAGTGAATAACAGAGACTTTGCGGTGGGTGGGTGGGAAAAATCGTTCGACAGCAAGCAATGAAGCAAAGTGTGATATGACTGATGAGTGAATGCTTGGTCTAGTGGTTAAATAACCAAGATGCAGAGAATTGATTGGTTGGGGATGGGAGGATTATGGAATATACAAAATATGATTGGTTACCAAGAATGCAGGTTATGGAATGTGTACTTAATAACAAAGCATGGCAATGAAACAAAGGACTGGATGTGTAATGCAGAAAGAGGATTATTATAAGTATGAGGGTGATAATTAAAACATAACATTGAACAAAAGACTGGCAACAGGGTGAGGCAAATGAACCCCATGGTCAGGTGTTAAGTATAAACTATGATTGTGAAAACATGATATGTAGGTAGTAGACAGGTGTGGTCGTCCCAGCAGTGTTAACCTCAGATTACTATGTAATCAGCCAATTAACACTGATGGGACTACCGTAGTTAAATCAAGTGGGGTGAGACCAAAATAAATGACACAGAGACAAGGATGCCGGTAGGTAGCTATGGGGGGAGCATCACACCCTCACGTGCAGGCGTCATAGCGGCTGACCCCATGATGCAATTCGCAGATTTGAATTACATCATGACATGAACAACGTGGTACCTGAGTGTTGGTGGTCACTACGGCAACCTCACAAGTAGGCGTTGTAAGAGTTGTTGCCACCGTACGAGTCACAATTTAGACTAACACTGCGGCAAGAACACCGTGGTACCCAAGCAAGGTTGTGTATGCTGCAGTGACAGCCCCCAAATTACGCATAGAGAACGAGCATGATTGTGTTAGAAAATGCAAGTCATGCAAGCAAGATTTATTTTGCTTTGATGAGGTGGTAGCATGGAGGCTACTCAAAACAAAATAAGAATAAAAAACAAATTATGACAAGAGCAAAAGTGGTTTGAATGCGACGATAACGCAAAAGTGTAAGCCATGTGCTCAGCGAATGCATAAATAATAAAGAATTACGAATCCGAGTAAAACGATACACAAAGTCAAGTTAAATGCTTTTTAAAAATTAATGAATGACATAAATAGTAAAATGAATTACGAATGTGAGTAAAACGATGCACAAAGTCAAATTCAATGTTTCTTTTTTTTTAAATTAATGAATAACATAATAATAAAGTGAATTACGAATGCGAGTAAAACGTTGCACAAAGCTAAAAATTACTTTGATAGTTCAATTGTTCAAGTAATGTTGTACCATGATTCCGGGTACCTTGCGAAGAGTTTTCATTGGCGTCTTAATGTAGGTTTGGTAGGCATCACTCTTCCATCGTCCAAGGCATTTGATTAACCAATCCGGAATTCCTGCAGCTGCAGCGGTGGTGGCAGCTCCACTTCGAAAACTATGGCTGGTGAATTGGGTGATATGAGGTACACCACCCTGAACGAGGTGAATTTGCAACACATGTGTAAGCTTCTGGGGGGTAAGGTAGTCACCGTTGGTGAATTGAAATGCGGGACTCTGTCGCAAGTTTGCAGAATAACGGTGATACGCACGTACCGCACATACTGATGAATCAGAAGCAGCGATGACAATGGTTTGACCCTGCCGAAAAAGATCAGACTTTGATGCCTTTATGTGAACATTGAGCCCACAGAGATTGTCATCGATGTGTATATCTGCATGGAGTAGGGTTGTAGCTGTGTCGTAATATGTTGGAGAAGAGGCGGTGAATTCACTTACTCTAAGAAAGCCGAAAAACGCAATGGTGAATGCTGACCACATCATAAGTTGGTCGATAGGGTGAAGAGAATGAGATGCACGGAGGGCGTTTTTCAGTTTCCGAAGTATACCTATAGTAACAGGAAGTCGTTGGCGAGTAGGCACGTTGTGATGTCGCCTGATTCCTTGTAAGGTGCGGTGTAGAGTGTTCCAGTTAGATATATCATTGGCATGTCCTGCTTCGATGTGCATGTCGAGGGTGGCAGTCAGGTACAGTTTTATGGTGTTGTAGACTAGCCCAAAGAAGGAATCTTTTCAGTGATGTAATTAAAGCACCAATGAGAAAAATGACCAATTGTTATTTTTGTTCAAAATCAAAGATGGCGGCCAAGTGACTGATCAAAATTATATTATTTTAAGAAGCTATGGCCAGACATGTTAATATACACAAAATACGCAACGTAGCAAATTTGTGGCATAAGTAGTTGAGGGCATTTTTTGCCCTTTTTTTTAGAAAAAAACATGACATAGTGCCCGTCATGTTTTTAGTGACTTTGTTAAACAATTAAAAGCATAGTCACAGTGTGTTTAAATATTGGAATATTATTAGCATATTAACTACAAATGTGCATGAAACAAGTAAAAAGAATAAGAATAAAACAACAAAAAGAAAGAATAAAGTTGGAATAAAATTGGTCAAGACATGCCCCAGAAACTGGTGACATGTCCAAATGTTGTTTTTTTGGGCCGTTGAAGGTCAACAAAATAAAACAATGTGATGTATCAAAAATCTGTCCAGGCATGCACAAGAAATGATGAACAGAAGGATGTACGCGACAGTCAAAAAGTCATTGTTCAATCCAATTGTAATAAAAGCTTCATCCATGTACCGGTACTTGGATTCACATTCATTTTACACACTTAATATGTCTAAATTTGCAAACAGTCTTATTCATGAATGATTTGCCTGGTTTACTTTACAAGTATAACACTGCATCATCAAAACTCTTATTTGATTTACGGTAATACTAATTTGGTAATTGAAAATATTTGTTGTTTTGATACGTTTTTTGGGACAAAAATGGCTGCCAGTCGGTCAAAGGTCAACCAAGTAAAAAATAAATCGATGTGCACATGTCTCCCATTATGACTTGTCTTTGTACAAGCTTTGAAGAAAATCTGTTCGGGCATCTGAGAAATGACGACGAACAGAACCCGAAAAACAATGCCATGTGACCACTAAAGCCTGTATAGCTGGAATCTATTAGTTGTACAATATGCCATAAAAAACCTGATCGCCAAGACCCATAGCCGCTTCCAGTTCAATTTTAATCCAATGTGGCTGCCGAACTAATTGACCAATCCAAATCCTGAAAGCCACCAGATCAAATTACGGACTATCAGTATGGAGAATATTAGACCATTCCGTTCAGCGGTTTTCTCAAAGATACAGAAGAAATAAAGATGATGAAGAAAGAAGAAAAAACGGGGCCTAGCCCTTTGGGTCCCTAAAAAAACTACTTCCTGTTCAGAAGAAATCCAAAATGGCCACCAAACCATGTGACCAATCATAACAAATTTTCCAAAATGGATGCTAAATACCATATTTGAGAGCATTTTGCTTGGCGGTTCTGAAGAATAAGATCAAATGTTTTTTGCCCCCCAAAAACATGGCGGTAAGTTATGTGACCGATAGTTTTATTGATATCTATTACACATGAATTGTAATATTGACATTAAAAAATCCGAATGCCTAGAAAGTGGTCTAACAGCGACTCAATTTAATTTTAATTCAATATGGCTGCTAAACCTATCGACCGATCAATAAGCCATGCATGCACAGCCCCGTTAGTTATCAAATTTAAGATATCGGGTATATAGTTTTGTTTATAGTAATATAGTTGCAATATAAACATGTTAGGAATATGATTACCGTATAATCTCTTGAATAGGTGTCACTCTAATTTAGGCGTCAGGGAAGAGTGAAAGGCATTGATTTGGTTCTGAAACGGGCATCATAAAATGTTGAAAAAATACAATCAAAAACATTTTTCACATAACAAAAAAATATTTTTTCTATTTTTGTTGGTAACAAAAATTATATTCTAAAAGAAGTTTCAAATAAAAACAAACACAAATGCATTTTATACTTAGTAAAAAATAATCTCGGTGCCGTAGCGTAATCCGGTCATGTTGCGCTTCGCTAGTGAATAACTTACTTGTTTCTGAAGTGTTGCAAATTTTGATTATTACTCAGTAGAGATTGAAATGACATACAAAAAAAATAAATTTGTTGAATTGTTATGGAATGCAAGTAAAATTCAACTTAGCTAAACCGTAAGCAAATGAGTTTGGTCACATGTAAATGCAAGATACGATACGATATCCACCATGTTGGTTCAAGTCGCTAATTAACCAACCAAAATGCTGGATTGTGCCATTGCATTCAAATTACCATAGCTCATTAAATATGTTAATGAAAGTTCAGCAACTTCATGGTGAACGCAACACGGAAGAGATTTACTGTTGTTGTAGTGCGATCTTTTGGCTTTGATTTTGATTTTGATTGATAAATTTTTTTTTAGTCAAGAAATGAGTTGTTTTCGAAAAATAAACTGAGCATTGAAGAGTTTAACACTTTTTACAGTGATAACAGCTCATTGTCGAAATGCAGTTTACCCTTCATGTTACCCACAATAAAAATTGTGATACTTGAATACCTAAATTAGACTCTTTAGGCGTTAGGAAAGATTAAAATGTTCAAAAAATGACGACTAAATTAGAGATTATGCGGTATGATTTTCTAACATTAAAATGATGTATCTTGTATCTGATCGTCAAACGAGATATTGCATTAATTAAAAGAAAATCAGAGATAATGTATAATGATGAATATATAAAAACATAATCAGTCAAAGCATGATATGGCTCTAGAAGCTCATTCATTAAAACAAAATGGCCACCAGTCTGCCATTTTGAATCTGATCTGAAAAATACAAGTCATTGTCAATAACACGTCCCCATTTCGTTCATATTTGAGTGACATATACATTCGAAGCAGATCATGACCGAAATGAACTTGCATATGTACAACACATTGTACTAAATCTGAACAAAATCCATCCATGCATGACTGAGATCCGGTTCCGGAATTGTGAAAATACGTGATTTTGATGCATTTTCGGCCTTAAAATGGCCATCATTCAGCTATTGTTAAGCAGATCATGAAACAAATGCACATATCTATTTGTGACATGATGTACCATGTGTGTGTGAAGTTTGAACTTAATCAATCCAGACATGTCTTGGATACGGATCCAGAACTGAATTCTTTAACAAAATGGCCGCCAGTCGTCCATTTCGAACTTGATCCGAAAAAAAAAGACGTGCATCAAGGTCCTATTATGTTTAATGTATGTACCAAATTTGAACAAAATCTGTCCATGCATAACTGAGATCCGGATTCGGAATGGTGAAAATGTGCGATTTCAATGCATTTTCGGCCTTAAAGCGGCTGCCATTTGGCTATCGTTAATGAGATGATGAAATAAATGCACATACATATTTGTGACATGATGTACCTTGTGT